TTCTGTGTAAAACAATATGTAAAAAATCCCTGCAGCTAACATCATAGTTAATGACTGAATATTCAACCTGATTCTGATAATGTTAGGATTTGAGAAAATACCATACTATTCCTGCCTTTAATCTTTTCTGTTTTTCCCTACCCGTTTTTAATTTTTTCTTTTTCTTTTTCTTTTTTTACTTCAACTTTTTATTTAAATTTTAGTTAGTTAACATACAGTGTAATATTGGTTTCAGTAGTAGAATTTAGTGATTTATCAATTACATATAACACCCAGTGCTCAATACAACTGCCCTCCTTAATACCCATCACCCACTTAGCACACCCCCCCACCCACCTTCCTCCATCAACCCTCGTTTGTTCACTATAGTTAAGAGCCTCTTACAGTTTGTCTCCCTCTCTCTTTTTTCTCCCCCTTCCCCTATGTTCATCTATTTTGTTTCTTAAATTCTACATATGAGTGAAATTATATGACATTTGTCTTTTTCTGATTGAATAATTTCACATTCCCCTCTCTCTGCATCCTCACCAACGTTTGTTGTTTCCTGTCTTGTTAATTGTAGCCATTCTGACTTGTGCGAGGTGGTATCTCATTGTGGTTTTGACTTGTATTTCTCTGATGCTAAGTGATGCTGAACATCTTTTCATGTGTCTTTTGGATACCTGGATGTCTTCTTTGAAGAAATATCTATTCATGTCTTAGTTTTGTTTCTTAACTGGATTATTTGTTTTTTTGGGTGTTGAGTTTAAGGAATTCTTTATATATTTTGGATACTAACCCTTTATCAGATATGTCATTTTCAAATATCTTCTCCCATTCTGTAGGCTGCCTTTTAGTTTTGTTGATTATTGCCTTTGCTGTGCAGGTTTTATCTTGATGAAGTCCCAAGAGTTCATTTTTGCTTTTTTTTTTCCTTCCCTCAGATGTGTATAGTAAGAAGTTGCTACAGCCCATGTCAAAGAGGTTGCTGCCCGTGTGCTTCTCTAGAATTTTGATTGTTTCCTGTTGCACATGATAGGTCTTTCATTCATTTTGAATTTATTTTTGTGTATGGTGTAAGAAAGCGGTCTAGTTTCATTTCTTCTGTACATTGCTGTCCAGTTTTCCCAACACCATTTGTTGAAGGATATTTTTTCCTGCCTTGTTAAAGATTAGTTGACCATATAGTTGAGGGCCCATTTCTGAGTCACCTATTGTGTTCCATTGATTCATGTGTCTGTTTTGTTTTGTTTTGTTTGTTTTTTCACTAGTACCATACTATCTTGATGATTACAGCTTTGTAATATATCTTGAAGTCTGGAACTGTGATGCCTCTACCTTTTTCTTTTTAAAGATTGTTTTGGCCAATTGGGGTGTTTTCTGGTTCCATACAAATTTTAGGATTGTTTGTTCTAGCTCTGTGAAAAAGTTGGTGGTATTTTGATAGGTTTTGCATTAAATATGTAGATTGTTTTGGGTGGTATACACATTTTAACAATGTTTGTTCTCCCAGTCCCTGAACATGAAATGTTTTTCTATATCTTTGTGTCCTCTTCAATGTCTTTCATAAGTGCTCTATGGTTTTCAGAGTACACATATTTTACCACTTTGGTTAGGTTTATTCCTAGGTATCTTATGGTTTTGGTACAATTGTAAATGGGACCAACTCCTTGATTTCTCTCTGCCACTTTATTATTGGTGTATAGAAATGCAACAGACTTCTGTATATTGATTTTATATCTTGTGACTTTGCTGAATTTGTGTATCGGATCTAATGATTTTTTGGTGGAGTCTTTTGGGTTTTCTACATAAAGTGTCAGGTCTGTGAACAATGAAAGTTTGACTTTCTCCTTGCTGATTTGGATGTATTTTATTTCTTTTCATTGTGCGATTGCTGAGGCTAGGACTTCTGGTACTATGTTAAATAACAATGGTGAGAGTGGACATCCCTGTCTTGTTCCTGACCGTAGAGGAAAAGCTCTCAGCTTTTTTTTTTTTTAGAGTGATATTAGCTGTGGGTCTTTTATATATGGTCTTTATAATGTTGAGGTATGTTCCATCTATCCCTACTTTGTTGAGAGTTTTTTAAAATCAGGAAATGATGCAGTATTTCGTCAAGTGCTTTTTCTGCATTTTTTAAGAGGGTAATATGCTTTTTATCTTTTCTTTTATTAATGTGGTGTATCACGTTGATTGATTTGTGAATATTGAACCACCCCTGCAGCCCAGGAATAAATTCCACTTGACCATGGTGAATAATACTTTTAATGTACTGTTGGATTCAGTTTGTAGTATTTTGTTGAGAATTTTTGCATCCATGTTCAGCAGGGATATTGGCCTGTAATTCTTTTTATTGGGGTCTTTGTCTGGTTTTGGAACTGAGGTAATGATGGCCTTGTGTAAGGAGTTTGGAAGTTTTCCTTCCCTTTCTATTTTTTGGAACAGTTTGAGAAGAATAAGTATTGATTCTTTAAATCCTTGGAAGAATTCCCCTAGGAAACCATCTAGCCTTGGTGTTTTGTTTCTTGGGAGATATTTTTATTACCATTTCAAATCCTTTGCTGGTTATTGGTCTGTTCAAATTTTCTATTTCTTCCTGGTTCAGTTTTTGCAGTTTGTATGTTTCTGGGAACTTTTCCATTTTTTCCAGATTGCCCAATTTTTTAGCCTCTAATTTTCCACAGTAATCTCATATAATTGTATTTCTTGGTGTTGGTTGTGATTTCTCCTCTTTCATTGATGATTTTATTTATTTGAGTTCTTTCTCCTTTCTTTTTTGATAAGTCTGACTAGAGGTTAATCAATTTTATTAATTCTTTCAAAGAACCAGCTCTTACTTTCAATGATCTTTTCTATTGTTGTGTTGTTGTTGTTTCTGTATCATTTTAATTAGTTTTTTAAAATTATGTTATGTTAGTTACTATACAGTACATCGTTAGTCTTTGATATAATGTTCCATGATTCATTGTTTGTGTATAATATCCAGTGCTCCTTGTAATCTGTGCCCTCCTTAATACCCATCACCAGGCATTTCTGCTCTAATCATTATTACTCTTCTTCTGTTGCCTTTAGGCTTTATTTGTCGCTCCTCTTCTATCTACTTTATGTGTACTACATTAAAGAATTTTCTTGCTTCCTGAGGTAAGCCTGTATTGCTATATATTTCCCTCTTATGACCACCTTTTCTGCGTCCCAAGTGTTTCGGACTGTTGTGTTTTTATTTTCTTTTGTTTCCATGTACTTTTAAAATTTCTTCTTAATTTCCTGTTTGACCCATTCATTCTTTAGTAAGATGTTTTTATATTCCGTGTATTTGTAGTCTTTCCAATTTTTTTCTTGTGGTTGACTTCAAGTTTCATAGCATTGTTGTATGAAAATATGCATGATGCGTGATATGATCTCAATTTTTTTGTACTTTTTGATGGCTGGTTTGTGACCCAGTATATGATCTGTGCTGTAGAGTGTTCCATGTGCACTCAAAAAGAATGTGTATTCTGCTGCCTTAGGATGTAATGTTCTGAATATATCTGTTAAGTCCATTTTGTTCAGTGTGTCATTCAAGGCCATGGTTTCCATGTTGATTTTCTGCATAGATGATCTGTCCATTGTTGTAAATGGGGCAATAAATTTCCCTACTATTATTGTGCTATTATCAATGAGTTCCCTTATGTTTGTTATTAATTATTTTATATATTTGGGTGCTCCCAAGTTGGGGCCATAAACATTTACAATTGTTATATCTTCTTGTTGGATAAACCACTTAATTATGAAGAATGCCCTCCTTCAAATCTTGTTACACTCTTTGGTTTAAACTCTAGTTTGTCTGATATGAAAATGGCTACTCCGGATTTTTTTTTTTTTAATGTCCATTAGCATGACAGATGGTTCTCTATCTCCTCACTTTCAATCTGGAGGTGTCTTTAAGTCTAAAATGATTCTCTTGTAAGCCACAAAATGATGGCTTTAATTTTTTCTTTATCTTTTCTGATACCTTATGCCTTTTGCTTGGAGCATTTGGTCCATTTGCATTTGGAATAATTGTTGAAACATAAGAATTTAGTGCCATTGTGTTATTTGTACATTCACTAAGTCTGGAGATTTTCTCTGTCCCTTTCTAGTCTTTGTTGTTTCTGGTCTTTCTTTTCCACTCAAAGAGTCCCCTTTAATATTTCTTGCAGGGCTGGTTATTGGTCATGAACATCTTTAGTTTTTGTTTGTCTGGGAAACTCTCTTCTATTCTGAAGGACAGCCTTGCTGGATAAAGGATTCCTGGCTGCATATTTTTCCCATTCCACACCTTGAATATATCAACATGGCCTGCCATGTTCCTGTTGAGAGATCTGCTGCAGACCTGATTTGTCTTCCCTTGTAGGTTAAGGATGTCTTTTCCTTTGCTGGTTTCTGGATTCTTTCCTTATTTCTATACTTTAAAAAATGTAGTATAATATGTTTTGGTGTTGGCCAGCTTTTGTTGAATTTGGTGGGTGTTCTCTCTGTTTCTTGGATTTTGATGTCTGTGTCCTTCCCAGATTAGGGAAATTTTCAGCTATAATTTGCTCAAATAAACCTTCTGCCCCCTTCTCCCTCTCTTCTTCTTCTGATACTCCTCTGATGCAAATGTTATTATGATTTCTGGAGTCACTGCGTTCCCTAAGTCTTCATTTGTGGTCCAATACTTTTCTTTCCCTCTCCTTTTCAGCTTCATTATTTTCATAATTTTATCTTCTTTATCATTGACTTGTTATTCTGCTTTTTCCATACTCGTTATTACCTCCAGTTGGTTTTGCATCTTGGTTATAGCATTTTTTATTTCAGTCTGACTAGTTTTTAGTCCTTTTATCTCTGTAGGAAAGGATTCTTTTGTGTCTTCTATGCTTTTCTCAAGCCCAGTTAGTACCTTTATGATTGTTGTTCTAAATTCTGGTTCAGGCGCTCTTCTTTTTGTTCCCCCTCCTCTTACAGCACCTCTGCAGGTTCAAACTCTGCTCCGTGAGGGTGGCGGGTGATGGAGAGGTCACGTGATGAGCATCCTGCTGCCCAACATGGCAGAGTTCGACACCATCTCGGAACTGGAGGAGGAGGAAGAAGCGGCGGCAACGTCCTCGTCCTCGCCCTCGTTGTCGTTGGTATTGGGACCCAACGACGACGAGGAAGATGAGGAGGACGAGGAAGAAGAAGAGGACGAGGAAGAAGAAGAGGAGGAGGAGGAGGAGACACCACCCCCGCCTCAGGTAGTGAGTGAGGAGCATCTGCGGAGATATGCCCCTGATCCTGTATTGGTGCGGGGCACCGGCCACATCACTGTGTAAGCAAGAGGGGCCATGGGGTTTGAAAACACTGAGATTTGTCAACAAAGGAATGAGAAGGTGATCGAGGGGTCTGTTGGGGTGGGGGAGGGCTGACTGAGGCATACAGTTAGAAAAGGATACCAGATCTAGATGGAGAAACCGAGGGAGATACCCGTAAAGGAAGTGAGGAGAATGCAAATGTGATGCACCAACATCAGGTAAAGAGTGAGTATAGGACAGAGAGGTTAGAGGTTTGAGAGCCAGAGGGATTGGAGTAGAGCTTCTGTATATGCCGGCAAGTAAATAGTCTTTAAACTGCAGGATGTACCAGAGGATTCTTTGCTGCTAAGACTGGTGTGTAGTGGAGCACGGTGACTGCTGTGACATGTTATAAGACCTAGGCTTGGATTCTTCCAAACAGAAATATGACATGTTTCATGAATAATATTAAAAAATATCCACCCACCCACATATTCCTTCATCCATTCTTCCTATCTAATACTTATATGAATGAATATAATAATCCTTTCCATGTCTTGATAATTCATTCTGACATTCATTAAATATCACACAATTAGAAGTTCAGATTAAGAGGTAGTTGTGAAATGTAAAGGAGCAATAGATTGAGAGTGATGGCTCTTGGAACTTAGTCCCAGTTTTGCTTCTTACTGGCTCTGTGACCTTGCTCAGGTTACTTCCTATTTCTGGGCCTTAATTTCTCCATCTGTAAAAATGAGGCGTGTGGGGTAAATGGTTTCCAAAGCCTTTCACCTCTGAGATGAGATACTTATACGAGATTTTGTATGCCCAAACATTAAATATGCAGATATGAAATACTTACATAAATTATTCCCCCAGGAGCTGAGGTTGATTTTTTTTTGAAAACTTATGCAGAGTGACTTTTTAAAAAATTGAAGTCTTGGATCATATTTGAGAAAATAAAAGGAGAGACCTCATAGCATAGGAGTTGCAAAGCAAAAGAAAATTTTCATGGCTCTCTGCACTTTGAAGAGTGCTTTTTCTCTTTTATGTGCTTGGGCTGTATAAATTCTGGTTCAGGCATATTACATATATATATATATATATATATATATATATATATATACATATATAGATAGATAGATAGATTACTTATATCTGTTTTGATTAGATCTCTGTCTATGACCTCTTCATTTTTTTTAAAGATTTATTTATTTTAAAGAAAGAGTGTGAATGGGTGGAGGGGCAGAGAGAGTGGGAGAGAGAGAGAAAGAAGCAGACTCCCCATTGAGTATGGAGCCCAGTGCAGGGCTTGATCTCATGATGCTGAGATCATGACCTGATCAAAATCAAGAGTCTGATGCTTAACTGACTGAACCACCCAGGTGTCCCAATTTCTTTCTTTGAAGTGAATTCCTCTGTTTCAGCATTTTGTCTAGGTCTTTGGTTTGTGTGTGTGTGTGTGTGTGCATGTGTGTGCACATGCGCGTGCACGTGTGTGTGTGTGTGTGTGTGTGTTATGAAAGCCTGTTATATTTCTTGCTCCTGAGAGTAATGGCTATATTAAGTAGAGGTCCTATACTTTCCAGGGCCTGGCACTTCAGGAAGTGTTTCAGAGTGTGCACTCTTCCATCATGTCTTGGTTGTTCTTTCCCTCCGGGCAGTCCTTTGTAGAGTTTCTCTTCGCTTGCAGTGAGGGTGTTGGGACATTGTCCAGCATTTGGTATTTTAACTAGGTGTGCTTTGGTCTGCTTGTTAAAATAAGCCTGATGATATTCCCTCTAGAGTTGAAGATTTGTAGCACTCTATGATCAGTAGATACTTTTCACATGTGGGGGGTTTGTGCTGGTCTTCTGAGGGAGGAGCCTACTGTGCTGGTTCCCTGGCCAACTTGCCCTAGTAAAGATATACCTGCAAGGTGTAGTGGAGTGGGGCTTGGTGTAAGTGGCTCCAGCCTCCAGTAGGGGTGCTGTGTTGCTCACTGAAGTCTGCCCATGCTGATAGGTGGGGGTTGGGGTGGGGGATGAATGACATTACCTCTCTCTGTCATTCCTTGAAAGGGGAGTTTGTGCCTGCCACTGTTCAGGAAGCCCTCACAGAAGAGTGAACAATCTCCCCTCTTGTGTCCCATGCTTCCTTCAGAACCCTGCTTTCACCCTCTGTCTGAGCTGTCAGCCTGCCTGGCAGTGCAGTACTCCTGTGTTTTATCTCAGGCACATGGCTGGGTTTCAAAAACTTCAAAGTTTGGGGACCCCGAGTGGTGTGGGCCCACACTGTTTTTCTGGGGGAGGGTCTTGCTGTTTTTTGGCCAGAGCTGGTTTGTCCCAGAAAAGTAGTCAAATGACCATGCAGGATCTTGGAGTTTATGGTAAAGCACAACCAAAAGCTGGCTTCCAGGTTAGTTGTCTTAAGCAATTACCTCTGCAGCTATGTAATTAATGGGGCCACTCAATGGCATCCACTATCTCTTTTTCCCCTGAAAGGCAGTGCCATCTCTCCCAAATGCACTCCAAGAAGAGGAAATGTTTCTCCTGGTGTGATCCAGGAGATCCTAGATCCAAGGATCCAGGCATGCTGGCTGGGCCCAGGCCTCTGCCCTCCTTCCTCACAGAGGCACAACTAAGCTTGCCAGACTAGACATTGGTGATGGTGTGGACTTCTAAAACTTGAGACTTTGAGTTCTGGTGCTTATAAAAACTTGCCATAGTCAGACCCTCTCCTTCTCCTTTTTCCAGTCAATAGTTTGGGGAGAAGAGTTTTTCTTGTGCAATCTCCTGCATGCTGTTTTTTGTCTCTTTCTCTCATTCCTCTCCCTATGATCAGGGCTCTCTCCTCTCCAGAGCACTTGCAATTCTTTCCTCCCCCAAAGCAACTCTTTGCAGCTCCTACCTTCCGTGATGTTACCATTTTTCTCTCTCTAGATGTGCAATTTGTTCTTTTAGTCCTCAAATAAATTTCTTTTTTTTTTAAGATTTTTATTTGACAGAGAGAGAGAGAGAGATAACAACTAGGCAGAGAGACAGGCAAAGAGAGAGGGGAAGCAGGCTCCCTGCCAAGCAGACAGCCCGATGTGGGACTCGATCCCAGGACCCTGAGATCATGACCTGAGCTGAAGGCAGAGGCTTAACCCACTGAGCCACTCAGGTGCCCCCTTCAAATCAATTTCTTAGGTGTTCAGAATGATTTGATTTTTATCTAGCTGTGTTCAAGGGACAAGAAAAGCATAGGGTCCCCTACTACTCTACCATCTTAACTCCTCAAATGAAGAATTAACATTTTTTAAATGACCATAGTGCTCAAAGAGATCTACAGACTTAGTGCAATTGCTACCAAAATCTCAAAGGTATTTTTTAAGAAACAGAAAAACTCATCCTGGATTTATTTTATGGCATCTTGAGTAATTCTGAATACATAAAACAATACTGAAAAGTGAAGAATAATGTTGGGAGACTCACATTTTCTGATTTCAAAACTTACTACAAAACTACAGTAATAAAAACCGGCATAAAAACAGACACATAGTTCAATGTAATAGAATAGACAGCCTACAAATATACCTTAACATATATTATCAATTTTCAGCAAGGATGATAAGACTATTAAATAGGGGAAAATTGTCTTTTCAACAAATGTTGCTGGGAAAACTAGATATTCACATGCAAAAGAATAGAGTTGGAACTTACCTTACACCATATGCAAATATTAACTCAAAATAAATCAATGAACCATACTAGAAAAAAACTTAGGGGAAAAACATGACATTGGTTTGGCAATGATTTCTTAGATATGATACCAAGAATGTAGGCAACAGAAGTAATATAAATAATGTCGACTTCATCAAAATTAAAACATTTTACATTAAAAAAACACTATCAAGACAGTGAAAAGCTGTCATAACCTCCATAATGGGAGAAAATAATTTGAAAATCATATATCTGATAAAGAATTATTATCCAGAATACATTAAGAACTCCTTTACCTCAATACCAAAAATCAAACAAACTAATTGAAAAGTAGACAAAGGGTTTAAATAAGAATTTCTCTAAATAAGATATACAAATTGGCAATAAACATTTGAAAAAATGCTCAACATAAATATTTGTTGAAGGAAATGAAAATTAAAACCAGGGGCACCTGGGAGACTCAGTTGGTTAAACATCTGCCTTTGGCTCAGGTCATGATCCCAGGCTCCTGGGATCAAGCATTGTATTAGATTCCCTGCTTAGCTCTCCCTCTGTTCCCTCCTCTCACTTGTGCTCTCTCTATTACTTTTGCTTTCTCAAATAAATACATAAATAAAATCTTTAAAAAAATTTTAAGAAGAAAATTAAAACTAGAATGAGATATGACTTTATACTCCTAGAACGTCTATTAAAACACACATGGATACAAAATTTTAGTGGGAATTTGGAAAAATTACAACTTTTGTGCATTGCTGTTGGGAGTCTAAAATTGTGTAGCCACCATGGAAAAGAGTTGAGACTTTCCTAAAAAATCTACACATATGATTGCCATGTAATCTATTAATTCCACTATTAGGTGTATATCCAAAGAATTGAAGGCAGAGACTTAAACAAATAATTGCACACCAGTCTTCCTAGCAGCATTATTAACAATAGTCCAAGTTGGAAACAATCCAAGTATCTATCAGTTAGGTAGATAAATATTTTTATTATTATCTATCTATCAATCAAATTTAGCCATAAAAAGGAATGAAGCTTTGACACATGCCAGAACATGGATGAACCTTGAAAACATTATGCTAAGTGAAATAAGCCACATACAAAAGAATAAATATTGTGTAATTCCACTTACATGAGACACTTAAATTAGACAAATTCATGGGGACACAAAGTATAATAGAGGTTACCGGAGCTTGGGTAGGAGGGAGTGAGGAATAGAGAACTATTGGTTAATGGGTACAAAGTTTAAGTTTTGGATGATGAAGTTTTGGAAGTGAATAGTGGGGATGGTTGCACAAGATTGTGAATACTCTTAATGCAACCAAATTGTACACTTATAAATGGCTAAAATGGTGAAGT